TGGTTCTTAAAACAGCTAGTGGGCTAGGTGCAGTGGCTCACGCTTGTAATCTCAGCACTTTGGGGGGCCAAGACTGGTGGATCACCTGAGGTCAGGAGTTTGAGACCAGTATGGCCAACATGGCAAAACCCTGTCTCTACTGAAAATACAAAAATTAGCTGGGCATGGTGGCAGGTGCCCATAATCCCAGCTACGTTGGAGGCTGAGGCAGGAGAATTAATCACTTGAACCTGGGGGGCAGAGGTTGCAGTGAACTGAAACAGTGCCACTTCATTCCAATGTGGGCAAAAAAAAGCGAAACTCCCATTTCAAAAATAAAATGGCCAGGTGACCTCACCACCGTGGGGAATCTCTTAACTCCACTCTTCCCTCCCCCACTGCCAAGGGTAATAGCAGCAGTTCAGGGTGTTGTGTTTTGGGGGTGTGTCCTGATACAGCTTTCTCTAAATGTGATGTAGAAGTGACATGGTCCACAATACATATCCAGGATCCAGTGTGTGTCCAAACTGGCATCTAGTGGACATCTGCTTCACTGTGCAGCACTCATAAGGAGTCCACCTCAGCTGCCATCCCTTTCTCTATCCTCAACAATGTTCTCAAGATCTTTCCATGTTTAATTAGATCCCTGTCATTAAAAAAATTGTTTTATGATGTTCCAGTGACTAGTTGCCTAACAAATCACCCTAACAGCTTTGTGGCTTCAAATAATGGGTTTATTCGCTGTCATGGTTTTATCGGTCAGGAGTGTGGGGAGGGCTCAGCATGGCAGTATGGGCTCAGGGTCTTTGATATAGCTCATGACAGCTGAGGGCTAGGGCTGGGGCAGCCATTGCCCTCTGTTCCCAAGGTCTTGGTGGTCTTATAGTATGGGCTTGGTTGGGCTTCCTCACAAAAGGGTAGGTCCAGGAAGTCAGGCTGTTATATGGCAACTGGTGATTCAAGAGTGAGTGAGTGAGTGAGCAAGGCGGAAGCTGTGGTGCTTTCTGTGACCTGCTGTTAGTAGTTGCATGATGTCACTTCCATTGAACTCTGTTGGTTACCAATGAGTCCCAAGTCCACCCAAACTCAAGGGAAGGAAAATAAGACTCCATAATGGGAGCAAGACTCTAGGACAGGCCAGGTACAGTGGCTCATGCCTGTAATCCCAGCACTTTGGGAGGATGAGGCAGGCAGATCACCTGAGGTTAGGAGTTCGAGACCAGCCTGGCCAACATGGCAAAACCACACTTCTCCTAAAAATACAGAAATTGCTGGGCATGGTGGCTCATGCCTATGATCCCAGCACTTTGGGAGGCCAAGGTGGGCAGATCACCTGAGGTCGGGAGTTTGAGACCAGCCTGACCAACATGGAGAAACCCTGCCTCTACTAAAAATACCAAA